AAAAATCATTTGCAAATATTTCCGTCAGTATTTTGTTGCAAATTTTGCAACATCATTTAGGTACCAAAATTTTTATCGAAATAAATACTATCATTGTTCTATTTCAAATGTATCTGAAATAATTTAGCAACGTAATTTATCCACGGAAAATTGTATCATTAATTTTTGAGATACATTATTTTAATTTTTTTGACAAAATTTATGACAGAAAAGACAAACTTTTCCATGACCATTATGTTGCTAGTTCCGTCTCAAGGTTTTTTAATTGTATTATATGACATTTATATATTATAATTTATTATTATAATATTTTAAATAAAAAATTTAATAACAATAATTTAATATTTAAATTATCTAGATATTAATAATAGTTTAAAGTATATACTTAATTATTATTTAAAAATAATTTGAAAATACTGCATGCATATAAATTACAATATGTATAATACAAATAATACATATCGATAATAAAATATTTTTCATCGGACATTTAATTTCGTATAAGAAGAAATTATTTTTGAAAAAAGTATAATATAAATAATTATTATATAAATACATATAAGCAAAATAATTTATGGTATTAATAAATAAAAATAATATTAAATATATATTTAAATAATTATTTTATTGACATATGTTTGTGTAACTAAATATCATATATTTAATTTTACAACATTCATTTAAGTATTTTACAAAGATATGACAAATAATCATTTAATTATTTTACAACATTAATTTATAATTATTAAAGTAAGAAAATTAAAAGCAAACTAAAGTCGAAAATTATGACAAAGAAAGAACAAGATTTCACTGATATATATGCACGAGTTTCACACAATCATAATTCTCATCCACGTAAAAGTCCTCCCCACATATATGAAATCAGAATGGCCATTCAAAGTTTATCTCATTGCGATTCTTCAAAACCTTATCTTAAATCGTATCAATGGTTCGCTCTCTCTCTCTCTCTCTCTCTCTCTCTCTATATATATATATATAAGTTCATGCATATTCTTTGCACTATCATTAGGTTGTCCATTACTTGATAATTTTGGAAGTTATTTCGGTGGTCTATTATTCCAGTTTTAGAACTGCCAAACTTTTGGGAATCTCATGTGGTCCGTCTTTTAGAAGGCCAAACAAAAGATTGTACTCATTTTCCATATATCTGACAATATGCTTAAGGTAAATTCAACTGTTAAAATTTTCAAAAAAAAAAAATATATTCATTTTGTTCTATATTCAAAAAAACATTTCATAGGATAAATAAAGCTTCAAATTATAGGCATCATGGGATCATCACTACAATAAGTAATTCTACATGCGGGAACCAGTTTAATGTCATTTCTTGGATAAAACCTCTTAGTAGATGGGTTTGGATTAGGCTGGGCGGGCTAGCCCACCAACCTACCCAAAATAGTAGGTAGAGTTGAAATTTTTTCACTCCGTTAAATTTTAAAAAGTTTTAGAACATAAGTTGTAAAATTAACGTTGTCCAACTAATTGTGTTTAATTCAACTTAATTAAAATTGTAGAGTCTTTTGCTTAATCATTTTTTAATGCAAATCTTCATAAAAATGATACTTTAGTTATACTTTATTATTTGTTACATACGGTGCAGTTGCGTCAATAAGGTTTAATATATTTGATTTAAAACTTGAAAGCAGCCAATCTAGTCCCTAACCTTTGTCAGATATGCATGTATATCGATTTATGTGTCAATTTAACAAGCAACAGCAATATCTCCAAAGGATAAGACAATGTGACCGCATTTAGCTAGCTATATATCCTCCAAAAATGGACCACGGAATTAAAAGGAAACGTGAAATAATATTGAATTAGTACTTATAAAAGACAAATATACACTCGGTTAATTTAATTATACTAATAATTAGATAAGCCTGCTTTGGGCTAGAGAAATGAATTACGCTAACTGTAATTTGATAATAATATGATTTGCTACAAATTTCATATTGATATGGATGATGCATGATGATGTAAGAGCACAAGTGGCATCCAATATGGCATGTAACAGAGCTTCTAAGGTGATATCCATGATGGCATCAAGAGTGGCAGCGTCAAGGAGCTGAAGAGAATATTTGGGTTATTAAAGTTTATTTATTTTAATTCAAGTTTTTCTATTTTTATTGAATTTTTGCATTTATTTTCATGTGTTTTATTTATTTAGTATTTTAAGCTTTAATAATCAATTATGGGCTTTTGGGCTTAAGTTATCTATTAGGATCTTTAATTTAAGTATTTTAGAGGCTCCCAGTTGTGTGTACTTGTCTCTTTCGTATTTCCTTTTTGGCCAAAACTAATATTATATTATGTCTCCTTTTATTTCCGTGGTCCATTTTTGGTAGATAGCTAAATGACATCATTATCTTTTATGTAGACATTATTGCTGCTGAAGTAATCAATAATTGATTGGCAGCTAATTCACTTGCATACATATTAACAAAAGCTAAGTACTAAATTAGCTGATTTCAAGTTTCGGATTACTTATACTTAATTATAACAAACAATTCTCGTTTTATTTTCTGTAATGAATTGACTAATAAAATATTTACTTGTTTACTGGGAGCAACAAGATGATTAATACTTGTTTATAAGATATTAGTATTCGAAACTTAAGTTTTGAAAATAAATTCATTTGTAATTATTTAAGTATTTTACACCAAATTAATGCACGAGTTTCACACTGTCTTAATTCACATCCACATAAAGTCGTCCCCACATATATGAAATGACAATGGCCATTAATTTTTTGTCTTGCGTTTATTCAAAACCTTATCTTAAATTGTATCAATGTTTTGGTATATATCTAATCTAAGTTCATACAAATTCTTTGCACTATCATTAGCTTGTCCATTATTTAATAATTTTGGAAGTTATTTTGGCGGTCTATTATTCCATTTTCGAAGTGCCAAACTTTTTGGAAATCTCGTGTCGTCCGTTTTTTGGGTATGCGGAATAATAGACTGTACTCATTTTCCTGATAACATACTTAGAGTAAATTCAACTGTTAATATTTTCAAACAAATATTCATTTTGTTTCTACATTTCATAGAATCAATAAAACTTCAAATAGGTAGGCATCACTGGATAATCGCTACAACAATTAATTTAGCATGCCTCAACCAATTTAATGTCAATTCCTTTGTCGTTTGATAATTGATATTATAAGAGGTAATCAGGTAACCGCTTAGATGTGATAGGCCACCAACCCGCCTAAAAAATAATTAGTTGGGCTGGAATTTTTTTTAACCCATTTCAACTTGCTTAACTCATAGGTTGGCCCACTCTTTAAAAAAAAACACATTTTTGTTTAATTTTTAAAAATTTATTGTTTTACATTTATTTTAAACATAATCTTTTTTTTTTACATTAAATTTCGATACATGTTTGGTTTCTCATCATTGATTACAGGTCAATTTCGAGGTTAATGAAATGATAAAACTTCATGAAAAAATAAAAGCAACTTAAATTTGATTTATAAAAGGGTTAAAAGGAAAAAATACTTTAAAATATTTTCTCCAAGAGAATCTAGTATTTTAAATTTTTTTTGGAGCACTTTTGCCCAGGAAGTTTCAAAAACAGCATTTTTGCCCTACCGTTACAAACGTTAATCATTAAATTAAAGTTTGATTAAGGATATATTTTTTTCCCATCTGTGTATAGTCTCCAATTTCGTTCTCTAGTGAATTCTTTAATTTTTCTTCTTTTAACAAATGGAAACAAAAACAAAAAAAATAAAGAAATGAAGGAGGATAAAATCATAAAATATCTTGGTTAAACTTTAATTAACGGTCAACATTTGTGATTTTTAACGATAGGACAAAAATATTCTATTTTTAAAACTTCTATAGCAAAAATGCTCCAAAAAAAGTTTAAGATGCAAGGTGCCTTCAGAGAAAAAGTTATAGTTTAAATAATTTTTTAAATGAATATTGGAAAGCATGCTTTCCAACTGTGATGAGTTTTAAAAAATTATTTAAATTGAGATGTTATTCAACCATGACGAGTTTACTGAAATGTTTTATAAGTATTTCTTTCCTTTACTTTACTAAAATTTAAATTAGAATGTTATTCACTAAAAATTTATTTTTAGTCTCAGATTTATTAGCCGATGCTAAACCTATTGCCAACCTTTGAGAGGCATATAGCTGTGTTGGGAAGAGATTTTTTGGAAGTCTATCTCTCCTTTTTTATGGAATTGTCAAAAGAAAAAATTATATATTTTTTATTTGCAAAGAACGGTTACGTGCTCCATATATATTATAATTAGAGTCTTTAATTTGATTATATACTTTGTCTGCTGGCTGAAAGGAGCTAAACTCCCTATTATCATTTTAGTTGTCAAAATGTTGTTGTAGAACTTTCAAAAAGTTTAATTTTTAAAGGAGGTTCTATTGAAATTTTTATAGAAATTTATGACTTTTGTTAGCATACAAATTATATATATGTAATAATTCTACCTTGTATCATGAATGCGTTTATGTTTAGAAATTAGAGTTTTCTTGAATAGAGGCTTAAAGGATGTGAGTTTATATTTATATCCTGTTATGGTCACCCCCAAGTTTTGGGGTGTGACATAATATCCCATGGTGTGCCTTATATTAAGGACCAAAAATAAATTATTATGTATAGATATCACTTTCTATCCATAATAATGCTGTGTTAATCATCTTGTTGCTCCCATAATTAACAAATGTACATTTTGTTAAACTGTGTTCAAGTTTAATTTATTGTAACAAATAAAACATGCTTGTAAGATTTCTTTTTATAATTGATTTTAGACTTGAAATTAATAAATTTCCTACCTAAATTTTATCAATGGATACTATATCAATTGAACCCCATTTTATTGTGTGCGAATCAATATTTAATTAATCTAATAACGTTATTTCCAATAGTATTGTTTCTCTGTTTTTTTTTTCTTTTTTAAATTATCTAGTGGAGTTAGTGGCTCTATATAAGAGACTCATCTATACACAAGAATACAACGTTGATAAACTCATCAGTATCTTATCGGAACGATGACTTCTCTCTTAGCAAAGTTTTCCTTCCTTCTGTTTCTCTGTTATTCTACGATATGTCTCTCTTCTTGTATTCTTAGCGACGATCTTGAGAGGTTCGCTTCAGATGAAGAAGTCTTAGGACTTTTCCAGCTTTGGCAAAAGGAATACGGACGAGGGTATGAGAATCTGAAGGAGGAGGCCAAGAGATTTGAGATTTTCAAAGAGAACTTGAAGTACATCAAAGAGACAAACGCAAGAAGAGAATCACCTTTCGACTATACCCTGGGACTCAACGAGTTTGCAGATCTGAGCAGGGAGGAGTTCAGTAAGATTTTCATGCCTGACATGGGTCCAATGCCCAAAGACAACATGAACTTGAACGATGACGATGATTCATGTCCGAATGCCCCGGTTTCCATAGATTGGAGGAAGAAAGGAGCTGTCACTAAGGTTAAGAACCAAGGTTATTGTGGTAAGTTTCTGCGTGCTTGGTCTAAAGTAAAAAGAATTTGGTTTGGGAACATGAACACAAGTTCTCTAATGTACCTCTCTCTATGCTTACTGTGCTGCTCTTTATGGTTTGGAAACCATTATATTTGAAAAATGGGTAAAAGGATAGTTTTGCCTTTTAACTATAAGGCTGGCAACATCTAGAACCTTAAACTTTGTTTTTTTTTTCCGGTGCAATTTTGCCTCTCAACATACGAAAATACCGCAATGTGCCCCCTCTTCTTAATTACAAGGATATTCACCATCAAGTTATGAGAAATATAATGGGCCTCACAACACAAAAGGAAAAAAGGTTACCTTGTAATTAACCGGAACCAGCAGATTGTGATGTTTTTAAATGCTGAAGGATAAAGTTGCACCAAAAAAAGTTTAGAATTATAAATGTTTTTGGATTTATAGATAAAAGGTAAAATTACCTTTTTCCCCTTTGAAAAATTAGATAATTTGGTTTTCGAAGTAAAAAAAAAAAAATGGCAGAACTGAGTGCTATAAACAGTACTGACTTTGTCGATTGAATGGGACAGGAAGTTGTTGGGCATTTGCTGCCACAGGAGCCATTGAAGGAATAAATGCAATAGTCACAGGGAGGCAAAGTGTGAGCCTTTCTGAACAAGAACTCGTAGATTGTGTTGAACATTCCCATGGTTGTAATGGAGGGTTGTACCATTATGCATTTGATTATGTTACAAACAATAGTGGCATCGCCAAAGAAGCTGATTATCTCTATACTGCTGAAAACGATACTTGCAAAGCCTCTGAGGTCTAGTTTCTTTTACTTACTACCTTATCAGTTTCACCTGCAAGGCCATCTTATATATATATATATATATATATTTAACATCTTATTGCTCTGTGGCTGGGTCATGCTAAATATTCTCTTTCTCTAACTCTTTCTTTGTTTTGTCTTTTTGAAACAGATAAAAAAGAAAGCTGTCACTTTGAATGGGTATAAAATGGTGACTTACTCCTCTGAAACGTCCTTATACTGCGCTGTCTCAAGGCAGCCAGTTAGTGTGTCTTTGAACGGAAAAGATTTTCAATTTTACCGGAAAGTAAGTCTCACATCTGTCTTTGATTTTCAATTTGTCCAAAATTAACTTTCACATACTAATAGATCCACAGTTCAAATTTTGTGAATGAATGAATAAATGATGATGATGATGATGATTATTGTTATTATTATTATTGTGACATTATCTCTTTTCAAATGCATAGGGAATCTATGATGGAAAAAACTGCACAGGTGATTATAAGCCTACTCATGCCGTGTTGATCGTGGGATACGACACAGTGGCGGGAAATGACTACTGGATTGTGAAGAACTCGTGGGGAGAAAGTTGGGGCATGAAGGGATACATGTTCATCAAACGAAACTTCACAGGTGACGTACTTGGAGTGTGTTCAATTAATTGCTGTGGTGCTTACCCAATCAAAGAAGCAGTGAAGCCTGAGTATTACTACTCTATTTGAAGTGAGCACTTCAAGTTAATTCTTCTCCTGAGAATATTAGCTACAAATAAGCCTGGCGATATATATATATATATATATATGCAGTTGTGTGAGACCTTGCGAATTTGAGAACTACTTATGTATGTGGATATGTCTTGACTCTTGAGCATATATAATGGCAAATGATTTTCCTTTAAATAGAGCTTAATTGTGTAAGCCTTGTTACTTATTCAAAGTTCTGCTTGCTCTTCAGTTATTTCTTGTTGATTGGATGGCCGGTTAGATTAGACGGGAACACATGATGAGATTCGACATTCAGATTATCTCCGGTCGGTTCTTCCTAGAAAAGTAAACATGAGTTTACCACCCCCCCCCCCTAAAAAAAAGGAAAAAGAAAAAGTAAACATTTGTGAACAATGAGCAGATATACTAAGAAAAGAAGTGTTTGCATGGTTAATCTGCAATGATGAAAGTTTCATTATGAATTTATGTACAATAGCACAAAACCCACCCTACTTTGTGACTAAATGAAAGAATAATTTCATAGAGTTCCTTCATAAAACAAAACGATCGAAGCTTAATGGACATGCTGTTGGTTTCCGTAGTTGTATATAATTTGTTTATTTAATTTTTTTTTTGTTGTCTTTTATGAAACAGATGTGCAGAAAATAAAACTGTCACTTTGAGTGATATACAAAAATGTGACTTCTTTATCAGAAAATGCTTTTATTTATCTCAACCACAAAGCAGTCTTTTCAATACATGATAAAACTCAAATCAAAGGCCTTGCTTAACAATAATCAAGTTTCTTTATTTGAACAAGAATAGTTATTAGATATATAGTTAATATTTCAAAATAAAGTTATTTGTTCAATATGTGATGACTACATTTTATTTAATTTTCTACATGGCTAGAGAATAGTTGATGGGAAAAACTGCATAGTTTATAGTTGATGGGAAAAACTGCATAGTTTGTATTAGGACTAACATCATGCCACGGTAAAGTGGGATATGATTCCATCAAAGGTCAAGATTACTAGAATGTCAAAAATTCATTGAGTTTATCCGATAAGGAAAAAAATTGGGAAGATGGTTGGGCAAAGAATTTGCAAACCATTGATACAATTTAAGATAAGGTTTTGAAGAATCGCAATGAGATAAAATTTGAATGGCCATACTGATTTCATATACGTGGGGACGACTTTATGTACATGTGAATTAAGAGTGTGAAACACATGCATATTAGTGAAACCTTGTCTTTTCTTTGTCATATATATTTTGCAACTTTAGTTTGGCCTTTTGCTTTTTTTTTAACTTAATAATTAGAAATGAATGTTGTAAAATACTTAAATAATTCTTTGTCATATCATTTGCAGCATACGGCAACATGGTCAGCACTTCCACAAAGTCTGACAGTTTTAGCTACATTTATCAATGGAGGGGTTCATCCACAGCTGGTTGAGAGTTCATTAGTGCAGAATACAAATTTTCACGATTGTTAGGAAGACCATTAGATTCCTACAAATTTCTTAATACTGGATATAGAGGAAGATGTGTCACTTACATTAGGAAGACCATTTTTAGCAACTGTGGGTGCCTTAACTGATGTGCCTGAAGGAGAGTTGATATTGGAAAATAAAATATTTGATGTTGCTAAAGCTACTGACCTCCCTATTTTTGAGGAATTTTAATGCACAATACAGGTGACACAAGATAAGGATAAGTAACAAATAGACCTTCCTTTACATCCTATAGAAAAGAAAGAAGAGAGAATTAGAAAGGAAGAAGGGAAGAAGCCACAAACGCAGCTTAAGGATCTTCCCCCAGTCCTTGCAAAAGTGCAAGCACTCATGACTTAGAGTTAAATTGGAGAGATCCTCACTACAGGGAGGATGAACGTTAATTGGGAGAGGAATGTATCTTTTGATCCAAGAGGACAAGAATTCATACCTTATTTAGAAGGCATTTTTTGATTTTGCAACTATGTCTAGCTATAGACGTTAAATATAGTACTTGTTAGGAGGTAACTCAATATTTTTTTTGTTTCTTTATTTTCATTTTTTATTTTTCTTTATTTTCATTGTTTACTATCACCATAAAATTTTCTATTATCACTAACACCCCTTTCAAAAATTCAGAGACCTAAACCAAGGGAGTATTGGTTCCTTTCTCTTTTTATTTTATTTTCTGCAACATTGAGGACATTGTTGGATTTCAGTGTGGGGGAACAAAATAGGCTTTTATTCTCTTATAATTGTCCTTAGTAATTAGCCAAAAGTTTTAAAATTTTGAGCTAATTTTGCATTAATTGGATGTTAGAGTACACCCTTCTACTAGATAGATGGTAACTATTACTTATCTTAGTAGCTCAAGAGTTCTCATGAAAGCTAAGAGAGAAATTATTGGAAAATTCTTCATGAAATGTTGTGTCTGATCAACACAATATTAATTAATTGGTAAACTCCATGGATTGAGAAGTGAAAAGTGAGCCTATATCTAGAGAGATATACATGAATAACGAAACTAGAAATGGATTTAGAAATTCATAATGACTTAATAAATTGTAACTTCATGGTTTGATTAGGGGTTTGAGTTGTACAAGAGTTAAGTCAATCCTAATTAAATAGGAACTAATTAGTCGAGAGATAATTGTGACACTTTAAGAATAATTGTTACTATAATAGATAAAGAGTCAATTTAAAAATGATAAAAATTAGTAATCAATAGGGTGAATCCTGAAATACAATGCTTATTGGATAATCTAATATTTATTAATGATTTTTATTATTTTTTATTTTTTCTTTAATTCTCAACTCGAATATTTTTCTTAATCTTTTTTAAATTAAAATTAATTGAAATATGAAAATATTTGCTTTCTGGGTACAACACTTGTCATACTATGGGTTGTTTTATTATTGCAATTCCAGTGCAGTTGCGGGAACTATTACCTTTCTAAACTATTTATTAAAGAAATATAACGTTACCTTTGAAGTGTTAAAATTATTACAATGTTCCCTCTAGGCTAACAGACAGTAAATCAACCTTGCAATTTTCCAAATACTTCCTTAGTATGTAGGCTTAGTGGTCACATAATACTCTTACTTATGTAGGAAGAAGCGATGATATCATCAATCACGAAACGTGACTGTTCATGTTAAATCAATTAACAGGCTAGACGAGAAATTATTGAAGTGCAAGCAGGACTTACATTAGACATAACCTTAATTTATTTAATTAATAAGTCTTACTGACATAACCTTTTTTTAAAGGCAAATCATTTGCCACTTATTTATGCCCAACACACACTACACAAGGCCAGGCTTATTTATACTTACAAGGAAAACAACCAGAAGTGATCAGTTCAAATAGAGGAGTAGTAATTCTCAGGCTTCACTGCTTCTTTAGTTGGGTAAGAACCACAGCAATTAATCAAGCATACTCCATTTTTGTTATCTGTGTTTCGTTTGATGAATATGTATCCCTTCATGCCCCAACTTTCTCCCCATGAGTTTTTCACAATCCAGTAATCATGCCCCGCCACCGTGTCATAACCCACAATCAAGACAGCATGACTAATGTGCGTAACATTGTATCTTGTGCAGTTTTCTCCATCATAGATTCCCTAGGAATTTTGATGAAAAAGAACATTAAAAAATGATGTAATAATATTTTCCCTTGAATTCTTAAAATTTGAATCATCCAAGACATTATTGAGTTCCTTCTACTTGATACAATACCATTGGTTAACAGAATTTTTGGACAAATAGCATATAGTTATTAATAATTTGGATGATGGAGTGAATAGATGAGATGTGAGACTTAGGGCCTGTATAATTTGATTTCTATTTTCAAAAAATGTTTTATGTTTAAAAAAAACAAAACATGGAAGGTGAGTGTTTTGAACTTACATATTTTTAGATTATTCTTCTTCTTTTTTTTAACATTTTGGAACATTTTTCTTTTTCTTTTTCATTTTTATTTTTAAAGCATGCCATATCCAACTATTGTAAATTACCTTTAGCTATGGCTAACTACTACGGGCCTTTTTTAATTCTAAAATTGTTGTCAAGTTAACATAATCAAACAGTTTTTCAATTTGTTTTGTTTTTGAAAAACAATTTTCAAAAATTGATTCATAAAATATTTTTTGAAATATAAAATAAATAAATAAACAAACAAGCTCTTACATCCTGGTAAAATTGAAAATCCATTGAATTCAAACCCACGGTAACTGGCTGCCTTGAGACCGCGCAATATAAAGATTTCTCCGAGTAAGAGGTCACATTTTTATACCCACTCAAAGTGACAGCTTTCCTTTTTATCTGTTTCAAAAAAGACAAAAAAAAAATAAACAAGAGAAATATTAGGTCAGACCCAGCCACAAAAAGCAATAATCTTTGTGCTCCTCAATATAGTCACGAAAGAAATTCATTTTATGATAAATATTCATTGATCTCTTTATTTCAATTCTAGATAATTTTTTTAAAAAATAAGCGAAGAAAAAAAATTTTGTATGGACTTCACATCATATTTCTATAGATTTATTGTCCAAGTAAAGCATTTTTTTTTTAAAAAATAATTTTTCCTCGAGTCCTAAAGAAATTTTTCAAGTGAAACTCAATTAGGCAGTACATTAATTAAGTAAAAGGAACTAGACCGTGGAGGCTTTGCAGGTGCCATCTTGAGCAGTATAGAGATAATCAGCTTCTTTGGCAATGCCACCATTGTTTATAGCATATTCAAATGCTCTATTGTGCCACCCTCCCCTACAACCATAGCAATCTTTATCACAATCTACGAGTTCTTGTGCAGAAAGGCTCACACTTGGCTTTCCTTTGACTATTGCATTTATTCCTTCCATGGCTCCTATGGAGCCAAATGCCCAACAACTTCCTGTCCCATACATTCAATCTACAAAGTTAGTACTCTTCATAGCACTCAGTGCTTTAGAGATCTTGTGTTCGTGTTTATATCTAAAATAATGAAGCTGTCGACAAATTCATTTTTTCTGCAGAGCAAGTACGCAGAAACTTACCACAATAACCTTGGTTCTTAACCTTAGTGACGGCTCCTTTCTTCCTCCAATCTATGGAAGCCGGGGCATTAGGACATGAATCATTGTCATCGTCATCGTTCAAGTTCATGTTGTCTTTGGGGATTGGACCCATGTCAGGCGTAAAAATCTTACTGAACTCCTCCCTGCTCAGATCTGCAAACTCGTTGAGTCCCAAGCTATAGTCGAAGGGCGATTCTCTTCTTGCATTTGTCTCTCTGATGTACTTCAAGTTCTCTTTGAAAATCTCAAATCTCTTGGCCTCCTCCTTCAGATTATCGTACTCTCGTCCGTATTCCTTCTGCCACAGCTGAAATTGTCCCAAGGCTTCTTCCTCTGAAGTGAACCTCCTGTCGAGGTCATCGCGAGGAATACAAGAAGAGAGACATATCATAGAGAGAGAGAGAAACAGAGGGAAGAACAACTTGATTACGAGGGAACTCATCTTTCAAATACGATGCTGATAATAAAGCTTGTCGATGTAGTTCTTGTATGTAGATGCGTCTCTCATATAGAGTAGTGCTCATGACGTTGTCATTACTGGATTATGTTGTTAAAGTAATTAAGAATTGAAATGCACATAATAAAAAAATGGGTATACTTGATATACGTTCATACTGACGAAAGCTGGGTACTGAATTGACAGGTTTCGACTATTTATTTTGGGTTAAAATAAATAAGAAAAATTAATTATTTGATTCTTAAATTTTTGGCTCAATTATAAGTTAATCTCTGAATTTTGACTCGTTGTAACTCAAACATAATTCAATCACTTAACTTTAACTTTTACAACTCAATCCCTATAGTTTTAATCATTTAAAATATCAGTCCCTATATTTTAAAAAATAAAATTATAAAGATTAAAATTATGTTACAATTTAGAACTAGTATTTTAAATTACTAAACCAAGCCTCTTTAATCTTTATAAAGATTAAAATTTTAAAATAGTTTTCATCCTTGTACTTTTATTTTTTAAAAATATAATATTTAAATAATTAAAATTATAAAGACTGAGTTGTAAAAATCAAAGTTGAAAGATTGAGTTATAACTAAATTAAAATTATAAAGACCAAATTATAACGAGTCAAAATTTAAGGACTAAATTACAATTAAGTTAAAATTATAAGGATTAAATGATTAATATTTTCAATTATGAATTTGTTAGTTATGGGAGCACTGAGATGATTAAGGCAGTACTCTTCGCAAAGGACCCTACTCCAATCCGTTGAAGCAACAATACATCAATTTGACGGAGGCATCGTATGTAATCTATATCTGATACTTGATAGAGAGTACTGATACTTCTTCAATGTGTATCGAAGAAGTATCAATAATGTTCCTACCATTAATTGGTGGTTAAATATGTAGGGGAAATGACAAATATGGACATTGTAAAAACGTTAATGACAATTAAAGATTTAAAATTATTGAAATGTCATAGAAGGACCATGATCTTTATTTGCAATTAAAATACTTCCAATTTTTTAAATAACTAATGGAATGTCACTCATGAATTTAAGGAAAGTTAGTTTTAAATTTATGAAAAATTACTTGTAAATCTATAAAAAGTTAATTATGAATGAATATATAATTTCATAAATAATATACATCATCACTTATGAATTTAAGTATAATCACTTGTGAATTTTAGAAAAGTAACTTATGAATTTATGAAAAAGTTAGATGTAAATGAATATTTAAAACATGGGGGCATCAAACTTATTGATTTACAATTAAGACTATTACTATCCATTTACAACTGACATTCTATAAATATTCACAAGTAACATTTCTTAAATTCACAATTGATTGAATTTTTATATTTTCACTTGTGACTTTCTTTAAATTCATAAGTGATAATACATAAATTTATACAACTATCTATTCATTCACAATTGACTTTTTATTAAGTCACAAATAACATTCCTTAAATTCACAACTAATTTTCTTTAAATTCATGGGTCTCATTCTATGGGCTATTGTGATAATTATTTACCGTTAAATTAAAATAAAGACCATGGTTTTTCATGGCATTTCATAATTTGAGGTTTTTTCAATTGTTATTAATGTCTTTACAAGATCTATAATTTTCATTTTCCCATTTTTTTTGTATTGCATATAATTTGATAAATGACAATCTTGTTTATGATTTATAAAAAATATGATTACTATATATTTTTATCATACGTTAATTAATCGTGACTATATTCATCTTGTTAGTATTTATTTAATATTAATGTCCTTATATACACATCAAGATTAGGAATATCAAATTTGTAGTAAAATGTAGTATTTTTAAATTATGGACACATCAAGATTAGCTGGGCTCTTCTAATTATTATTATTATTATTATTATTATTATTATTATTATTAGCTGTATTAATAAATTAATATTTGTCTCTTGCGTATTTCCTTTAATTTTTGGCCAAAACTAATATTCTCTCATGTCTCCTTATATTACCGTGGTCCATTTTTGGAAGATAGCTAAATGACATCATTGTCTTTTCTGGAGACATTATTGTTGCTGAAGTAATCAATAATTGATTGGCAGATAAATTTACTTGCGTACATATATTAAAACAAGTTAAGTACTAAATTAGCTAATTTTAAGTTTCGGATTGCCTATACTTAATTATGACAAACAATTCACGTTTTTTTTTTTGCTGTAATGAAGTCACTAATAAAATATGTACTTGTTTATTGTGGGAGCAACAAGATGATTAATTCTAGTTAATCCATTCCTTCTTCTCTATTGGAATATTCCCGAATATAGTTCTTGTGAATTGGGCGAAGATTATTTTATGTATATTGCATGAAATTTGATAGATGAGCATTATTGTTTATATCCTATAAAAAGTATGGCTTACTGTATATTTTTAATATATATATATATATATATATTAATCATGTGTATAATTGTCTTATAAGTATTTATTCAATATTAACATTCTTGTGTATCTTCAATATCAATCAATCAATATAAAATAGAAAATTTGTAGCAAATTATATTATCATCATTTATCAAATTAGAGATAGCGTAATTCATTTCTCTAGCCCTATGAAGACTTGTCTAATTCTTAGTATCATTAAATTATTAGCATAGTTTATATAGACTTCAAAACCATATCTACATAAGATCTTATTATAATTAAAATTTAAATGAGTCTAAAAATTTCTAAGATTATGTATTGATTTAGTATAATCATATTTAAATTATAAGATATTAGTATTTGAAACTTGAGTTTTGAAAATAAATTTATTTATAATTATTTAAGTATTTTACAACAAATTAAAGAAAATAATACATTATTAAAGTAAAAAAATTTCAAGTAAGAGGCCAAGTTAAAGTTGAAAAATATGACAAAGAGAAGACAAGATTTCACAAATATATGCACGAGTTTTACACTGTCTTAATTCACGTCCACATAAAGTCGTCCCCACCCACCCCCCCACACACACACACACACACACACACACACACACACGAAATGATAATGGCCATTAAATGTTTGCCATGTGATTTTTCAAAGCCTAATCTTAAACTGTATCAATGTTTTGGGATATATCTAATAAGTTGAACAAATCTTTGCACGATCATTAGGTTGTCCATTAATTAATAATTTTGGAGGTTATTTTGGTGGCCTATTATTCCATCTTTTGAAGTGCCAAACTTTTGGGAATCTCATGTGGTCCGTTTTTTGGGAAGGCGGAATAAAAGACTACTCATTTTCCATACAACTGATAATATACATAGAATAAATTCAACTGCTAATATTTTCAAATAGATATTCATTTTGTTTCTACATTTCATAGAATCAATAAAACTTCAAATGCATAGGCATCACACGATAATCACTACAACAATTAATCTTAATGTCATCAGGTAATCACGTAACCTCGTAGATGTGAATGGCCACCAAAGTGCCCAAAAAATAATGAGTCGGGCTGGATTTTTTTTAACCCATTTAAAAGTGGACCAACTTGCTTAACTCATAGGTTGGCCCACTCTTTTGAAAAAAAAAACAAAAAACTTTTTTTTATTTAATTTTAAAAAAGTTATTGTTTTGCATTTATTTTAAACATAACCTTTGTTTTACATTAAATTTCGATACATGTTTGGCTTCTCATTATTGATTACAGGTCAATATTGAGGTGAATTAAATAATAAAACTTCATGAAAATATAGAAACAACTTCAATTTGGTTTATAAAACTTTGTTATTCAATTTAAAAATTTTAAAAAAGTTGAAAATGTTTATCAAACAACATAAAAAGAGGTGTGGTAGGCCTACTAACTCAATTATAACAGGCGGGGTTAGAGATTTTTCAACCCACTAGGAGATGGCTAAATACTCAACTTGCATCCTGATTTATCAAATAACAATTCATGGTAAAATGAAAGAACTTGCTCTGCACAAGTATTTTTTTATTGAAAGCAATCTTGTTGAAAAAATGGTTAGATATTAAATATATAGGTCCCTATTTAAAAAAATTCAAAAATTAAATTCATTACATTGCGAGAGACAAACCCTTCCGTTAGATCCAATTTTTGTTGTAGATGAAGGAACTTGATTATTGTTAAGCAATGCCTTTGGTTTGAATTTCATGAATTGACAAATTGATCACCGGAATTGAAGAAGTATCTTATATCTTAAGCCACAGAATATTTATTCAAATATAAAATAGCAGATAATTCTAGAAAATAATTTTACCAAGTTGAAGAGGTATCTCATATGTTTACTTTCAAGAAGAAAACGATCGAAGATATTCTTAATCTCGAATCTCAACATGTGTTCCCGTGTAATCTAACAGGCCAAACGACAAATAATTGATGAAGAACAGGTAGAACATTCAACAATTAATTAAAAAAGATTACATCAGCTTTATTTAAAGGCAAATCATTTGCCATTATGCCCAAGACATACATATGCATAGTGCTCAAAGCTCGTCATGTTCCTACACAACTACATAACACCAGGCTCATTTATAGCTAATATTCTCAGGAAATTAAAATAACGCCTGGCTTTTCATATGGAAGGGTAATCAAGCTTCACAAATTGTTTATCTTTTGTAGGGTAACAACCACGAGCAGCAAGTCCACATACTCCCAAACCAAGAGAGCTACTTGAGTTTCGTTTGATATACATGTAACCATCCAAACCCCAATCTTGTCCCCATGAGTTCCTTACAATCCAGTAGTCTCGATCTCCAATGTAATCATACCCCAGGATTGTTACAGAATGATTGGTTCTAATCGTACCTGTGCAGTTTTTCCCATAAAATATTCCCTGACCAAGTGAAAGAAAATAAATAAGTAAACAAGCTTATGTATTCATTTTGGATGAATAATTTGATAGGAAAATGACAATAAAATCCCTTTGAAATATATAAATGACAATTTGGTCTCTCAAAATATCATAATTTTTCTGAAGTCCTTAGGGACTTTTCTGTTATTAATGAATTTATATAAATTATCAAATTACCCTTATTGAAAATAAATGATTCACAACTTTTCTTCTTATATTTGCAATAATACAACAGCAAATAAAAAATTTAATATGTGAAATTGTAATTTGTTATTGTATTATTGTGAATTTAAAAAGAAAAGTTACGAATATAAAAAGTAAAGTTGTGAATTATTTATTTTTAACAAGGGTAATTTGATAATTTATATAAATTTATTAATGATAGAAAAGTTCTTAGGAACTTCAGAATAATTATGGTGTCTTGAGGGACCAAATTATCATTTATATATTTCAAAGGGATTTTATTGTCATTTTACCTAATTTGATTTGTAACAAGAGTACTGTGTAATGGCATGGAGATATCTAACTTATACCCTCGTAAAGCATGAATTCTTCCTTCGCTTCCACAACCACGGTGACTGGCTGCTCTGCTGTTGCGCAAGTTAAAGCTTTTTCTGAGTACCAAGTCACATTCTTATAACCAGTCAAGGTCACAGCAATTTGATCTTCCTGTCCCCAAACAAAATTAGACCAAGCAAAATATCAGAGCCAAGTTGAAATTAAGCCCATTGTTGTGCATATATTTAAAATCCAAAATGGTATTGGCCTTGATTGCAACAATACACCAATATCGACATGACAATTAAGCTCTATTTGTTTCTTCAAGACAAGAGATTTTCATTTTTCAAGAGAGGGCTAGAAGAAAACATTAAAAAAAAAGAAAAAAAAAAAGAACCAGACCTTGGTGGCTTTGCAAGTACCATTTGTAGCAGTATAGAGATAATCAGCTTCTTTGACAATTCCATTTTCTGCAACCCATTCAAATGCACGGTATGGCCACCCTCCATTACAACGGTTGGCTTTCTCAACACAACTTACTAATTGTTGATCGGAAAGGCTCACACTGTGCCTTCCTGTGACTTTTGCATTAAGTCCTTCCATGGCCCCAGTAGCAGCAAATGCCCAGCAACTTCCTGTTGCAGCAATCAGTTTGAAAATTCTCATTGTTTATATCCAAAGAAACAAAGCCTTGAAAACACAAGGAGAGAGAATAAATAGGCGGTGAGAAGCATTGAACACCACATCTTAACATCAACTTTAATATATAGAATAAGTGCACCAAAACTTAATTACCACATTTCCCTTGATTCTTCACTTTTGTTGACAGCTCCTTTTTTCCTCCAATCAATGGAAGGAGGTGCATCATCACATGAATCATCATTCAACTCTGCAATTTGTTCTCTGATGATATTGTCTGGGTTTATAATTTCCAACTCAGGTAAGAAAGTTTTACTGAACTCCTCGTAGCTCCAATCTGCAAACTTATTGAGACCTAAACGATAGTCGAAGGGTGATTTTCTTTTAGCGTTTGTCTCTCTGATGTGTTTCAAGTTCTCCTTGAAGATCTCAAATCTCTTGGCTTCCTCTTCCAGATTCTCGTACTCTCGTCCTTGCTCCTTCTGCCACAGTTGGAACAGTCCTAAGACTTCTTCCTCAGAAATGAACCTGTCAAGCTCATCGCTAGGGATGCAAGATGAGAGACATATCATGGAATAACAGAGAAACAAAAGGAATAATAACTTGCTTATGAGCGAAGTCATCGTTTAAATAGGATCTTTATAAGGTTATTAACGTGGTATTTTCGTGTATAGATGAGTGTCCTATTTATAGAGCCAGGTGAAAGACCTTGGCATTTATAAGTTAATCGATTTTTTATCTGTACATTTCATAATAAACACGGGTGGTCACATTAATTGCCATTACTTCTGGAGATAATGTTATATATCCGAGTCATTAAGAATTGATTTGCCCATGATAAAATAGTTTAATTTAGGGACAATCACAACCAAGCACCACTGAACAACATCTATTACCCAGCATGACCAAAAAGTTCTGGCTTTTCTCTAAAGAATCAGGGAGCCAAATGTAATTAAAATTTATTTTGAAAAGGCAAAACTACCCTCATATATATATATATATACTCGTTCCGTTCAAAAATATAATGCATTTTTAATCAAATCTCATTCCCAATAAAGTAGTTACCTACTTTCAAACTAATTCTATCTTTTCATATTTATCCCTATTAAACATCTATAATAAGTATAAAATCATTCATTAATAGGGACACTTTTAGAAAAAAAAAAAAGCAATGATTACATCTCAAAAGACAAAAAATGCTTTACATTTTTAAATATTTAATTTTTTAAAAAATGCCTTACATTTTTAAATGGAGGGAGTATATATTTGTTGTTAAAATAAAAATAAGACTTGTTTTTCTCAAATGAGGATTTGTTAACTGAATCACATTATTTTCTCTCTACCACCAAGTTAATATTTTGAAATTATTAATGAAGGAATTGATTGTCATTAAAATTAAAATGAGACTTGTTCACCAAATCATAACACTTGTTTCTCTTTATTACCAAGTTAATTTCTGGAGTTGTTAATAAAGGAATTAATTGATGTTAAAATAAAAATGAGACTTGTTTTTTTTTCTCAAATGGAGATTTGTTGTTAAAAGAGTATATATATATATATATAAGGGTTAGTTTTATCTTTTCACAATAATTTTTAATTATATTTAGGTCCTTTAGTCATACTGAGCATTATCAAAGTTATTTGGTCCTTTAGAGTAATAAATATTGTTTAGTGGTTTTTGATTGTGATTTTCCCTTTAATTTAATTTACATACACATTATCTAGAGTTAGGTACTGAAGTGACTGATTTCAATTTTTAAAAAATCAACGGTAACAAATAATACACGTTTTATTATTTTTTTCAATAAAACAAAATAGCTTAATTAGTATTATGTACTAGTTGTTTATTATGGGTGCAACATGATTCACGTGGTATTCTTGTTTTTTTGCAGACGAGTCTCTAGTGGCAAGGCCAGTGAGGGACCCTCCATAAACAAGTAAATGTATTCCATAATAAAGAGAGGTGATCACATTAATTTCATTTCCTTTGGAAATATTGATATCAAAGTAAACAAGATTTGATTGGCACATAGTAAAATAATTTTAGTTGAATATAGGTCGTCTGCTTTAGGCTGTTTTGTAGTCCCCACATATGTGAGAACACCATGGCCATTAAAATTTTATCTTCAGGAGAATCTTCAAAACCTCATCATATACTCTCTCTCTCTCTCTCTCTCTCTCTCTCTCTCTCTCTCTCTCTCTCTCTCTCTCTCTCGCGTGCCATTTAATTATAAAACTCCATTCATTGGTTCTTATGACAAGACCCTTTTATATATTTTATAGTCAGCAATTATTTTGATGAAAAGTTCATGTGAGAACTATTATTCACCAATCATTCATATTCTTGCCTGGAGTCTTTCTTAGCGCCATGTTCACCTTAGAGTTCTCCATTATGTTCGGTTAATTTATTACAACAAAAAGAAAAAAGAAAAAGTGCATGGTTTGTCACAATTTAAATTATAAGACAATTTGAATTAATATTACATATATCAATAAAATTTAATAATGACACTTTACAATTTTATATTTTTTTTTAAAACAAAAATTATATATTTTTAAAAATACCCTTCATTTAATATAATCTTAAATCTACATATTTAACATTACACTACAATCATTTCAATTCTCTCTGTACTTAAAGGATAATATTAAAAAAATATCATTAATAAAATCTAATTTTTTTTCAAATTATTTTATATTTTAGGGAAAATTGTTTTATTTTTTTCAACTGGATTGCCGCTACAATATGAATGCTTCCGCTTACGTTTAGCTTTATTTAAAGGCAAATCATTTGCTACTAATTTCTTCCCAGTGTACATATATATTATACAGTTTGCTGGGCTCCAAGCCTCGAACACATAATCACACACACACACACACACGCAAAAAAAAATAGTTGGCTTTATTTGCTAGTGATTTAGGTGGACTTCATATATAGAAGAATCAAGCTTCAAATAGAAGTGGTGTCTCTTTCCTTTTGATTGGGTAAGCACCGGAACAGTACATGTTGCATACTCCCTGAGTAACATCAGTATTTCTTTTGATCAACATGTAACCATTGAGTCCCCAAGTGGTTCCCCATGAATTTTTGACAATCCAATAATCTTGACCATCAAGTGATGAACCGTATCCAACAATTAATACAGCGTGATTATGGAAACATGATGAACTAACGTCTGAGCAATCATCCCCACTAAAGATTCCCTGAAAAGCAAACAAATTTTGATGTTAAAAATGCATTCTTGTTTCATGGACGACCCGACGAAGTACTTGTGTGTGGATAATTTTAAAATGTATATATAATGAAGATGCATATAGCTTACATTCTTGTACAGCACAAAATCTTTGCTTGCATTTATGGAAACACTAATAGGCTGCCTAGCAACATCACAAAAGAGAGAACTTTCTGATATAGGTGTCTTCCTCCAAAATTTATAGTCGTCGATAGTTGTATATATCTTCTTTGCCTATATCAAAATATGACCAGCAAAAAGTTAAAATCAGAATTAGCCAATACATACATTATCCAAATTATTCAACTGATGCAAGCAAAGAGGCCACCAATTACCAGTGTGGAATTGCAAGCACTATCGTTAGCTGTGTAGGGATAATCTCTTTCTGTGGCAATTCCACCATTGTCAATGACATATTGAAATGCACCAACGTACGAGCCTCCTTCACAGCCTTTGCTATATTGGTTACAAGACACGAGTTGTTGCTCCGAAAGGCTCGGAAGACATTGTGTGACTATCTGATGTATTCCTTCGATTGCCCCGGTTGCCGAGAATGCCCAACAACTTCCTATAAAAAGCGAATCAAAGTCTTAAATTCATGAGTCTTTCCTCTATATGAGCAGGTCCAACTAGATCTGCTCATACTTGAAAATCCTAACATGCTTCCATCAATTTATTGAAAAGATCACACGAAAGTTATACTTACCACATCGGCCTTGGTCTTTAACATAAGTTACAGCTCCAGAAAATCTCCAATCCAAGGATGGAGGTGCTTCAGGACAAGATTCACTGTTGGACACCGTTTGGCCCTTGTCGCTTTCGATTACAGGACTCTCTGTCTCGCGTAAGTAGATTTTACTGAACTCCTCAAAACTCATGTCGGAAAACTTGTTCAAACCTAAGCGGTATGACGATGACGTTCTTCTTGCAGTTTTCTCTTTGACATATTCCAAATTGCTTTTGAAAATCTCAAATCTCTCTGCCTTCTCTTCAAGGTTTTGATATTCTCGTTTAATCTCCTTCTTCCACGTCTGGAACAGTTCGTAGACTTCTTCCTCAGAAGTGGAAATTTCATTAGAAATACAACAAGTGGGACAAATAGTCAGAAAAGAAGAGAGAGACAAGAAGAGGAGCGACTTCAAAAGAGAAGCCATCTATGCTCACTTTAAAGGTGATAGATATGAAGGGTTTTTGAATTGCTACTCTTCTATGGCATAGTTCCATATATAGAGTCACGTCCTAATATATGATGTCATTCCCTTTGAAGTCTAAAGATAATGTTGGCAGATAACAAAGTAATTTAAGAAAGGTAGGTACTAAATTGATCGATTTCACATTTTAAATTAATTATAATAAACCACCCACTTTTTTTTTCTTTTGGCGATTTACCACAACGTAAAAAAAATATGCATTTGTTAATTGTGTCGGCGACGATGATTAATATTAATATAAGTTTAAAATAATTTTCCTTCTGTCCCACTTGGGTTATGATGAGGTCTCCTGTCCCAATATGACAAGTTGAATTTCGCAGCATGAGTTTTAAACGTTAAAACAATGGGAAAATTGGACATAAGGCTCCTAGAATAGAAAAAATACACCTAAGACCCATTATATTTTGAATTGTTTCTGCATGCCCAAGGGCCCCAAATGTAAATATATTTTTTTTGTGAAAAGACGCATTTGCCTTCAACCACACAGACTATGTATAATAAACAAACACTGCATTGTTCATGTGTGGACCTTGTTATGTTCTTTACAAACATTATGTTGTACATATATCTAGAAAACTTATATATTATTGTTCAACTTAACCATATAGACCAAGTATAATAAACAAATATTGTGTCATTCACGTCTCAATATTTTCATATTCTTTATGGACATTATGTTGTATATACACTTGAGGAACTTGACATTATTATTTAATTTAACCACATGGATTATGTGTAATAAATAGACACTGTAATGTTCACATATAGTCCTTGTCATATTGTTTATGTCATACATATTAGATTTAAAATGTACTAGGCCTCAAGCGTAATTTTTCTATTCTAAAAGCCTTAGGTGAGATTCTCCCTAAAATAATTGTTTTAAAATTGTACATCTTAAATCTAAGCCAAGTCCACAATAGGTAGATTTGGGGATGTAAAAGATAATTATAATATATAGAATTAACAAAATAGAGTGAGACAATATTCCAGATAAAATTGAGAAATGAAAGGTTTGTTAATAATATTTTTCTTGGCATTTCATCTGCTAAAATATGATCACGATGAGCATATAGCAATATGGCAAGAGATAGAGGGAAGCCTGATTCTATCCTCATCTAAAAGGATAATATAAATTAATCTCTGAATGATGATATATTGTTTTCTTTAAATCACGTTTTTGACTAATTTGAAAATGAAATAATATTTTATTAAACTATTAACTAAAATATTACCATATTTAATAAATAACAAGTCATGCAATAATCAATTAAATTGTGTTATTAAAATAATAAATTATTAATATAGAAAAACACTGTTTTGTATTTAGTAATATTAAATAAATAATTAATATGTCATAATTGTAATAACCCAAAAATTTGGTTTAAAAAATTCTAAAACAATAATAATAAAATTTGTGATGAGTTTTTTTAATTATATTTTTATTAATTTTGGCGAAGATACACCAAGAGGGAATGGTGGTCTGGTGGGCTTTATGTGAGTTCCATATCTGATAGGTGTTAAAATCGAACTTACATGAACCGTAATACCCTTCTGATTAAAATTAAAATAATAATAACAGATATTAAAACACACCTTGCTGTCTTCTCCTTCTCCATTTGCTGATTTTTCAAGAACCATCGGGAGAGAAACTCTAAATCATAAGCACCTCTGCCATAATCATTTTCTCCTTCCTCCTTCTCAGTCTTCAAGGTTACCAGTGTAGATGTGTATGCTGTTGCTCTTTCGTTGTGTTCGCATCTCCTTCCTCCTCTGTTTCTTGTCGCCGATCTTCTTCTCGTTTCTTCTGTAGTCTGTGCGATCAAGGCTTGCAAACATGATGAGTTAGATTGTTGACAGAGGTCCGATTGTGTTATTTCCATCCTTGTTCATGACATCAATTCCTTCTTCCTTCCCCTGTCTCTCGCTGCGGAATCCTTTGCTCGTCTCTCGTTCGTGCTGCAGATTTGGGGCGTTGAGATCTTCTTCCTTCTTATTCGAATGCCTAGAATTTTCTTCTAGCTCGCCATTCGTTGACCTGAGGTGAGGCACTTTAATATCTCTTCTTATTCGGTACCTCTGTTGTGTGTAGATGACTGAAGATTTTGATATTCTTCTCAAGTTTAATTGTTGGTTCTGCCAATTGAGATGATTAGGTTGGTCTTCTGAGTCAAATTAATTGCAATATTGATATTGTGAAATCATTGGAAAAGAGGATTGAGGAAAAAATATGTTAGAATTATAGATTGAGGATTTTGCTTGTGAGGTGTTTAATAAAATGCCTATTAAAAAAATTAGATATATGATGACAAAATGTACGTGACAATTGAATCGTTGTTAATTAGATAATTATTGGAAGACAATTCTCCTTATCAAAAGTTGGAAGTTGATTAGTTAAATATTGATATAAGACAACCTTAAGATAGGGAAATTAAGAGAAAAAAGAATTCGGTTTTATAGTTTAAACATTGTGCAAAATAAAGGATCTTTGATAAATGTTTATAAAAAGGGAAAATTTTGGATTTTAAGTGGCAAAAATATATAATAGGTATGTCATCATTGACTAAATAATTTGAAAGGCATTTGTGCTTTGCAATAGAAGTTAAAGTGAAATTTGAGATTTTTGGGAAAAATATTTGAGTGGTAATTTAATAAACAAATCACTATTTATATATTTATTTTTGAGATGTTTATTGCAATGTTGAGAAAGCTTAAAGTGAAAGTTTTCTTTCAGTTGTTTCTCTGAGTTATTTTGGATTAAAGATTTTGGTTGGTAAAGTATGTTTGAAGAAGTGATAATAATATTAACTATTTGAATATTAGGAATTTAAGGACAAAGTATTGTCATAAGGAGTGTAGAGTGGAAGTTAGTTATTGTCACGCCTCAAAATTTGGAGAACGACCGGCACAGGATGTGAACCATTTCACACATCCCTGTAAGCCTTAAATTGTAAATTCACTCTATTTCTAAAATTAAATCAGATTTATATTGAAATTATAATACTTTTGACACTAATAATTATAACAAAGTTTCAACATGTTCATAAAAATTTTGACAAAACCCCTCCTATAAATAGAATTTCTCAAAATTTTTACAATATATTGATACAGCCAAAATATCAATTAAATCAAGAGCTTAGCTCCTTCCAGCCGACAGACAGCATATGTATAAAATAAAAGTCCTAGTTATAGCTTATGTGGAGCACCTAATCGTACTTTTCAAAAATAAAATAAGAATAAGATATATAAACATTTATAATTACATCAAAAGAAAAATTTTAATCAACCCTCCACCTGTCTATAAGTGCTCAAGGATCAGCAGGAAGATCAACGTCAGCTAAGGTATCTGAGACCAAAGATATTTTCCAGTGAATAACGTCCCAACAATAGACAATACAATATAAATAAAATGAAAAGTTTGAAATAGTTATGTAAGTTAAATAGACAAAATTTTTGTAAAAATTTAATGAACTTCATAATAATATGGCTCTATAAATTTCAAATAAAATCTCAAATCATTGAACTATCATAGCAAATGATAATATCAATTGATTTCAAGAAAGCACATAAATAAAATAAAATATTTATAAACAAATTAATAAATAAAAACCAATAAAATATGAAATCATCAAATGATTGGTTTCATAATTATAGGGACTTATCAGAACAATTAACAAATGTGGACACACAGTCCACGAAGGTAATAACCAAACACGGCTTATGCCACGAAAACAAATGTGGATACACAATCCACGAGGGTAAGTAACCAAACGCAGCCGAAGCTACGAAACAAACATGGATACACAGTCCACGAGGGTATATAACCAAATGCAGCCGAAGCTACGAAACAAACGTGAGTGCAATGCTCACGAATAACCATCCCTCCGTTCCACGTGCGTTGGCCATCGCACGGGGCTAGCACCTCCTATAAACACCCTGCTAGCTAGGTGTACCATGGCGCGCCAAGGGCTAACGAAATTGCCGTTAGCAACCAGTGTTCCGTATAAAGTCCCTTTTTAAAACCATTTTCAAACATGCGAGAAAATCCTCACTTTCAAGATACAGTTCTCATTCTCAAAATCAAACTCGCATGAATATGTTTAAGCATTAAAAACTTTCCAGAATAAAATTTCATACCCAATACTCATACTTGCATTTATTGAATAATCAAAAATTTCAAAGTCGAACTCGCATGAATCATTCTCTGTATCAATCCAATATTTGATAAAATAAAAATCTCATAATCAAAGTTCAAACTTAATTTAATTGATCAAATAACATTTCAAATTTGATAAAGCTAATTTCTCAAAATAAAGTAAAATTAATTAACAAATATTCAATAATTGCATTAATGCTGTTAAAATGATTTCCAGAAAAACATAATATTCTAGTAAAAGAAATTTTGATTAAAAAAATCAGTTGGGACGCTATCCACTTACCTGAGGCAATCCAAGCACTGAAATTTACCCATTTAGCATTCCCCACAAGGTTTATTCCTGAAATATCCAATATAATAATAATAATTGAATCTCTAAAATTTTATAAAACTCATAATTGTTCACTCACTCAATTATCATAGTATATTCTCACATTGCTCTTGGTCCCCAATCTTTTAATCTTCATTCCAAAGAAATTCATATCATCCGCATTCCTTTCCAGTGCACAAATCATAGTAATCTACTAACACATTTTAACTAATAATACCATCGTTTACACTTGCACTCTTCCCACAACATTGTGACTTGAAACCATAGCATTTTATTTTACATATTTGGAGGTTTAAATACAATCAGCTATAAATCCAAAATAAATAATTAAATAAAACAACATTCATCGACCTCCTACCATCATTTTGTTTTAAACACTTATATGTAAGCAAAGTCCTTAATCTCAAATTCCTATATAAGAATGTAATAACTTCTATATAAAGATCTAGTCATTGCATGGATTATTCCAAATGCCATAACTGAGATTCTATGGCTTACTTTACAACAGCAAAACCACTGGGTAGCTCTTGCATATGTACCGAAAATCAATCAACACATTCATAATCATAAATATATACATTTAGACACACACATGCACAGACACTAACTGTACGCAGCTTAAGAATCTCTATGAAGCTATGACCAAGTGATTTATAAAAAAAAACTTCGTCATTAAAGGTTAAGGTGGAAGACAACCCCTATCACAATTTTACAAAGATTTAGTCAATAGTTCATTTCCCATACTTAGTTATTTATTTAAACCAAAACAATTTCTCTTCCCACATTCCATCAAACATCTTATGTGCACTCAAAAATCAAATTATACACAGGTACCAAAATTTATAAATTTCCAACCATAATCCATCTAAATGATTCAAAGTTACCCCAACCATCATTATTTATCTCAAAATTTCTTTACAATACTTTAGCGATAGTTAATTATTCCATTGAGACATAATTGTCTCTCAAGCCTTATATCAAATACCTTGTGTGCAGAACTTCTAAACGCTTTAGTAAAACTCGTTCAGCTACAATCTCTGATTACCCAACAAATTCCATATATCCATTATTAAATTCATTATGCTTTTCCAATCCAATTCCTCAACAAAAATCAAATTAAGCTCAAGAAAAATTCAAAACATTTACAGTCGAGCAAGCAAGCAAGGAAAGCCATATATACACACATACACATATATATCTTTATACACCACATAAGATCATTAAAGATGGAGAAGGGAAGATGAGCACTCTCATACCAGCCACGGCAACAACAACGATGAAGGGAGAGGAGGAGTTTGCTGCTGAACAGGGGAAAGAGAAGACCAGAAATCAGTCTCTTGCAGGAACGAACCACTTCCATAGTCCGAAATTTAAAAACCCATAGCACAATATTAACAGAGGAAGAAGAACGGCAGGCGGCGCAAATGAACATCGCACAGACGAATTGGACAACAACTCACACTGTTGCACGATCAGCGACTCAAAACAGAGGAAGAGGAAAAAGAAGGCTGCAGCACGCTCAAGGTCACCGGTGACAGATGAAAAGGACGGCAGGGGAGACAGATCAGAGAAGACACGAGTATGGTTCAAAGCTCTCACCGCCCTCCTTGATCTGGAACTTTCGAAGCCTATGACAAAAGACAAAAAAAGAAAAGGAAAGGCCCCCCGCGTGCGTATCTGATCTCATCTATTGCATCATTTATTTTTAGCATTTTATGATTATTTTATTTTATTATTTTTTTTTTTGACCAAAGGGGAAAAATGATAATTTAGCCAAATCATTAGTAAAAATAAAATTTTCTTCTCCTTGATAAATCTATACCAATGTGCAAATATATATATATATATATATATATCCTCAAAATATTTTTTCATCAATTTTTTTTAATTTCAATTATATTCTGAGTCATTACAATTATACACTTGGAAACTGTACAGGTAAGTGAATAGAACCACCATTATTTTATCAATAAAAGTAGTATGTTATTAAAAATATTACATTTTTATATAAATCATTTTTTAACAACTATAATGAATATTGAGTGCTTTGTTAATTAAATTATTTTAGTTTTAGAAATTATAGAATAATGATGAAGGATAAGTAAATTATGATATGTGTATGTATTTTTCCTTAAGAAATATACTTCCAAAATTGATGAAGGCATTTTTATTTATTTAATTCTAAAAATTGTTGGCCACTCAATAAATGCAAGAATGGACATTATTTATAAAATTTTGTTTTAATTGAAGCTTAAGATGATTCATACGAGTTTGGCATCAAGAATGAAAATTATATTTTAGAAATGACTATTTTTCTTGCATGTTTGAAAAGTAATTTTGAGAGAACTTTAAGCAAAACACGGTCACTAATGGTAATTTTGTTAGCCCTTAGCGTGCCTTGATCAATGATTAATTAGTTTGATTTTCGTGACCTCTGTTCTTACGTCTGTTATTTGTGAGTCTCATACCGATGTCTGTTTCATGATTTCGACTATGTTTAGTTAGTTATCCCTGTAAACTGTGTGTCTGTTTCATAGTTTCAAGAATGTTTAGTTAGTTACCCTTGTGGACTATGTTTCCATATCTATTTCGTGGTTTCGATTACATCTGGTTAGTTACTTTCGTGCATTGTGTGTCTATGTCTGTTTGATAGTTGAAGCCATGTGTGGCCACATTTGGTTACTTACCCTTGTGGGTGTGTCCACGTCTATCTTCATTGCATGTTCATGTTTGTTACTTGTTTTGTTAATTCCTTAAAATTTTAAATTTTTAATTAACTTGTATAATTGAAATTTTATTGATTTCAATTGGTAAGTGTACTACTTTGATTTATATATGAATAAGTTGTTTCTTCAAGCATGATAAGGAAAAAAAGTAATTTTTGTTCATTCTCATTTCCTGATTATAAGTAAGATTTATGAATTTATTACGTTTATTGTTTTGAATAATTACCTTTTCAATTATTTTACATAGTTGTTTGATTTTATTATTTTTACTCTTTTAAATTCTATTTTTGAAGATACTATTCACTAAAAAATTATTTTGCCTTGAATTTATTAGCTAACGTTGGACCTCTAGCAGGTTATTGAGGAGTTTACCACTGCGTTGGGTAAATATTTATTTTTGAAAACACCTTTTTCTTTTGATGCAAATATTGAATTATGTGTTTTAATTTGAGAATATGTTTTAGGCACTCCACTATCACGCCCCAATACTAAGAATATGACCAGCACTAAATATGAGATGAACTCATATTTCATAAGCCTTGATTAACTATAGATTAAGCCAAAATACCAATAATTAATTTGTATATATAATTATGATATTCTTAAAATCTTAAATATTTTGTAAAAATTTTAGTAGATTCGATCCTGTAATTTAGGTCTCTCAAAATTTTTACAATAATAAAACCTATCAGCCAATCTAACAAAAAAGTATAGCTCCACACCAACCGATTATATATCAGCAAAATAAAACTAGGATTTAACTACGGCATATATGGAGCACTAACTAACATTATATAATATAATGAGTATTTACATTAAAATAAATGATTGAAGCGTGTTTTTGTCGTTCAAAAAGCAATAAAGCCCCTCAATGATTAGTTGGTGCAGGGTCAATTACATTATCTAAGGCCAAAGAATTTTTTTGGTGAGTAGCGTCTCAATCAAAATTATAGATAAAACATGTAAAAATAGTTATTAATAAAATTTTGTTTAAAATAAATCAATAAAATATTAAAACACATATTTAATTTAACTAACAATAAGTGACAAAGTTGCTCAACAACATCATGACATAAATCAATAATTTTGGAAATTTTTTTAGGTTATCAAGAATCATACAACAAACAAAATATACAAAAAGAATTCAAATAATGATTTAATCAAGAAAACAAATGTTTATAAATAACTAATATAAAACAATAAATTTTTAAATTCAATCTAGAAGGAATTTTATTGATAAAGGCTAAAGGCTAACTGTGTGTATCATGACGTGCTAAAGGCTAACAGAACTTTCATTAGCATCCAGCATTTTAAACTCAATCCTTCTAGTAAAAATAATCAAACATGCAAAGAGTTGTAGGAAAAAAAAAAACTCAATATTTTCATTTCTAAAGTACACTGTTTCACTGCTATCTTCTATTTTTAAACTCATTTTCATTTCCTCGTTGCATGAATTATTATATTAATAGTTTTCATAACAACAAGAGTTAATAATTGAATTACTTTTAAAATTTATAATCATTTATTCTATATCAACTTTAATCAATTCTTCTTCATAGTATAAATCATAAAAATAGAATTGACAAGAATGTTTATATAACTTATAAAAGAATAATATCAAAATTCAAAATTTAAATAAAGAAATTCTATAAAAATTTTATAAAAAATTAATTGAGACACTATCCATTCACCTGAGAGTTTTTCAAAAAAAAAAAAAATTGTAGCCTAATTCTCTCAAGTTCCCACTTACACTCCAATGCCCAAATAATCTAGCATATAAACCCATAATCCTTATGTCATTATAATTTCTCTTTAGGTGCTGCATGATTCTAATAAGTAGTCCAACCTTACAACTCATATAAGTAAAGATGTATACTTCTTTAGGAAATACTTACAATTCCTTTAGGCCTTGATATGAAAATTAAACAATTTTACCTCCACCAAATTTTCATGTTCAAATATCTTAAAAACACTATAAACTAAATTATAAGCAACTCCATATTCCTTGAGATAACAATAATTTAATTTTTCAAACAATATTAAAAATAATACCATAATTAATTTCATTTCAAACACCCTTGAGGCCATTATATTATTTGAAAAATCTCAATTCATCCTTATACACCTTGTAAACCATCCTCAATTATCAACCATGATAAGCTACATTAACTCTTCTTATACTTTCTTTAAAATTAATAAAGTAACAACAACAACAACAACAACAACAACAACAACAACAACAATCATCATCATCATCTTTTCTAATCATTTCTCCTATGTTGGTAGTTTAAGATTACAACTGATAGCTCAAGCCAATATTTACACATATTTCTTCAAGTTATAGTATGAAAATTAAACAACTATTTCAAGCATTTTCTCAAACATCTTCGAGCATTCATCAAGAAACCCATGAAGCAAGCATCCAACCAATATTAACAACTTCTAATATTCAATTTCATACTCAAACTTCAGTTCAACCTCATAATAAATAACATCCATAATTAATCACAATTTAACATCTCAGTTTCCAGATTTTTTTTTTTTGACAGAAAAAGTTAGAAAATGAAGAACACCGGCAGCTAGAGGAAGAGGAGAGATTGAGCTCACCACATATAACCTGCGATGCTCATAGCTGAGATAGGAGGATGAAATGAAGACCGAGGACATGTAACACACACCATCATCGACCACAGCCAAGAGGAGACAGAGGATGACGATGGAAGAAGAAATCTCAAGTCTCCAAAACACCGGCTGTAGAAACGCAGCTGCAAAGAGGGGACTTGAAGACCGCAAAGAGGGGAGTTGAAGACCGCTAACAGATCCACGGACAGCAGATGAGGGCACCCAAAAAAAAAAAAATGTGAAAGTGAAGTTCTTGCTCCCGCAAGGAAAGGAAATCTGGCGATCCAACACTCCAGCAGCGTAACACGATGGCAAGGAGACGTAGTTGACGGAGAGGCAAGCAGGTTGACGGTGAAGAGAAGGAAGCACGGTGGGAAGAGTCAAAGAGCGAAGGAATGAACGAAATAATCTGACTCTCGCAGTTTCTAGAGTTCGAATGGCAGGGGAGAGATACAAAGCTGACATAAAAAAAGTTAAGAAAATTACAAAAAAATTTATAAAAAAATTACAAAAAGATCACAAGAAAAATTATAAGAAAGGATATAAATTGTTTTATAATTTAAAACAAAATAAAATCAAACTCTTGCTTAATAGAATTCAAACTCTGAATATTTAAGAAAATTATTGGCATAAGTTCTACCAAACTATCAATCTCCACTTATCATAAATTAATTTAAATAAGATATAAATTGGGAGATTTTTTTTTATTATTTAGGGTCATTACATTCAAGTTAACTATAGATATGATCCTGAATTTATTTATTTATTTTTATGTTGATTGTTTGCTATTGGGAAGCATAGCTCCAAACTGTTGAATGTATATTATAATATTTTTTGTTATAGAAATTTTAAAAGATCTTATTTATAAAGAAAGTTCTACCAAAATTTCTACAAAATATTGAAGCTTTGATAATAATAAATATTATCATGGATGTTCTAGAAATGGAATAATTTTTCAATTTGAGGTTTAAGGAATTTGTGTTATGGTTCACATCATGTTCTAACCACCTTTATTTTTGGGGCATAAAAATAATTAAAGAAGGAAGAAATCTCGGTTAATTAGGTCCCAAAACATTTTCCAGTTACAAATTGTATTTGAGTAGTTGCAAATTATATTACAGAAAATTGTAAATAAGATAATATTAGTCGCAAATAATTGTTTAGGTACCTAACTATTATTCTTCCTCATTAAGTGGCATGTGCAATCAGCAATATAAGATTTTCACTCGTAATCTATCAAAGCAAAATGTCTTTCTTGTCACTTTGACAATTTATTTTTAGCCAATATGATTTTTAAATATATTAGAAAAATGGGAACAAAATATCTCATCACGTAATTTTACCAAGAGGTTTAAATCAGTTGGGTTTGGAGGCAGAGACGGATTCCAAGGGGGGGGGGCCAAGCACCAAGGTACAAAAAATTGGTTAAATTTACTTTGTTTTTTTTTTTTGGTTAAAAATGTTAAAATTAATTGTAGTAACCCACTATAATATAATTTTGCATTTGGCCCCCCTAAAGTTGGTTCTAAATCCGTCCTGTTTCGATAAGTTATCAGAGACAATGACAAAAGACAGTATATACGAAAATGAGGATTCATTGAGCGCTGTTCAACATGACAGCAAGAGTTTCATCAGAGCCAATGAGTTTTTGTAATTTTTTGATAATTAATAAAGCTAAGGCAAGTGAGTTGTGATTTGTAAAGTCATTTTCTAATGATATTCTTTATCTAGTATTTTCTTTTATTATCTTACCTTATGCTATTGTACTTTATCTATTTTGTCCAATCTATCTAATCATTAATAATTTCGGTCGTTCACGTTGTTGGTTCCAAGTCCAGCAAGTTTCTCAGTTTGGTGACTTTTTCACACAGAAAAACGACGTCGCTTTTGTCTATTTAGTCTCAGTCATTCGTCTCGTCTGACGGATTAAAGCGCATCATGTGGCTATTTTACAAGGACGCATTTCAGCCGTTCTATCTGGCGATGTGAACCGTCCGTTTACAATCACATGCAAACCCAGTTCACCTTTTTTTTTTTTTTAATTACAAGGCTATACAAAGAAAAACTAAAAATTAGATCCAATCAGATACAAAAATTCCTTCACCCATTGAGTGGATTATTGAAGACCCTAGTGTAATAATAATTATTATGCTTAGCACAGTCTGCCCTGCAATTTGACTCCCTAAAGGAGTACCTCAATCATATTTGTATGGTACTTTTTTAAAATTATTTTTTTTAATTTTATCTTTTTTTAATTAACATATTTAATGAAGTTGTATCATTATAAATAAAAGGTAAAAATAAAAATATATCTTATTTTTTATAATATAAAAAAAAATAACTCTTTTCAAGATATGTAAAATGGTTAAAAATGTTTTATAATACGAACCGGAGGAAATGCAATTTAATTGCACAAAATAAGACCCCTAATCCTTTTGATAGCATTGAAGAGAGGATGATCATAAGAGTGCTCATTTTGAATCAGGTTAATAGCCTCCATTTAGTTGCAGAAAAACATTAATTTTGGGATAATAATTTTCATCCCAGCATATACTGAGTATTTCAAGAGTTTCAAGGAGCTCTCGCGTTTGATTAGTAGCCAAGAGATTTTGTGAAGCGCTTGGTTTCACCTTCCTCAATTTTCATTCCATTTGATTCTGATATGCCATTTTTGTGAATTGTGAATCCAGTAGATTACAATTAGAGTTAGGAATAAGGGTCAGATTTAGAGAGCTGGGCTTCTAGGCCCCATCCTGATAGGCTTTGAAAAAAAGGTTCAGGCTTGGGTGGCAGACCAAGCTCCATTCCTCACAAGATTGATGATTTTTCAAGTATTGTATTGTTAAAATAATTGATGTTGGTTCTTTTAATATTTATTTTAACATGATATTGACAGATTTTTTCATTAATTTCTTAATCACTATTACTTTGTAAGGTCTATTTTTTGTTTTTGATTAATGTTGTACTCTATGATACAAAATTTTTTATATTTATCAAATTTAATAAGGTTGATTTGAACTAAAAATTTATATCTTCATTTTAAAATTTGATTAAGATTTTATATCAATATTTATATTTATTTATTTTATTACATTTAACTCATTACTTTTTGCTTGATTTGGCCTTGATGTTTTCATCCACTTGCACTCATTATTTTATCATTTTCTGCCTAACTTCTTTCAGTTCTATAATGCTAAATCATTCTACGAATACGAAGTACGAAGCCTAAAATAAAAAACCGTATCCGAATTGATATAAAAGACCCCGGGAATTCTTTTTACTGAAGACTTTCTTTTTTTTTTTTTCCTTCGGAGGATCATGCTATGTACAATTCATAGAAGTGCAGAATTAATCATCAATTTTGTGCAAAAAAAGGTCATCAATTTATTTTGACCTCAATTACATTTAGCTCCACATCATTGTTAGAAAACATTAATCAGTTATGTTATTTTTTGTCTTGTTATATGTAATTATAATGCCCTAAATAATATAAACACAAACAGACATCTGATGGATTCATATGTACTTTCAAGTTTGGCATCATGAACACGAAAATCATCACATATATTTTAAAAGATCAATTATCTTTCACTTTTTTATGTAATTATATTAAATCCACATTTTCTCTATGATAGATATAACTTTTTTTCTTTATTAATTCTTCTCTATTACAAGGAAAATGTGCCTCTCTGACTCTCTTTGGTTTTTTTTTTGGGTGAAGATGAATGCATTTACTTGTACAAATGTCCTAGTTAAACCAATTCATAAGTATCCAAACAACTTAAAGAACATGAAGAACATGAATACAAGTGGTGTTAGACCGGAATATTTAAAAGCACGAACGTTGAAATAAGAGTAGATAAGATTTTATTCACAAACCATGCTTAGTACTTGAACTTTATTGAAAGGCAAATCATTAGCCACTTATTCACACACACACACCCCCCAAAAAAAAAATGCAAGGATCACATCCACTAACACATGAACATTGCTGGCTTTATTGAACTATTGCTTGAGGCTGGCTTCACATAGAGGCATCAAGTTTCTGGCCTTTGGTTGGGTAAGCGCCATAGCAATTTATGTTACAAACTCCATAGTCGTTACCAGTGTTTCTCTTGATCAAGATATAACCATCAAGTCCCCAGGAAGTTCCCCACGAGTTCTTCACAATCCAGTAATCTTGACCAGTGCCCCATGAACCATATCCCACAATCAATACAGAATGATTCATATAACATGGATCAATGCTCGAGCAATCATTAACCCCATCATATATTCCCTGTCAAAATAAAAAAGCAGACGACTTTTTGAAGTTATAAAATGTATCTCTGAAGTGGTGAGATCTATGAATCATTATAATATATATGTACATATATGACTTACACTCTTGTATCTCATGAATTCTGGGCCTGCATATACGGCAACACTAAGAGGTTGGTTAATGACAGCACAAAAAAGTGACTCTTCTGATAAAGATGTTACCCAATTATAGCCATCAATAGTTGCAAATATCTTCTTAGCCTGATTGATCAATATCAAAGAAGATAGTTCACATATATAATGAAGTACAAAATCAATATATGTAAGATAAGATGGGAAAGGGATATAAAAGAGCACAAACCAATGTGGTATTACAAGTACTATCATTAGCTGTATAAGGATAATCTCTTTCTGTGGCAATACCACCATTGTCAATAACATATTGAAATGCATTTGAGTGAAAGCCTCCTCAACAGCCACGACTGTACTTATCACAAGACACAAGTTGTTGTTCTGAAAGGCTTGGAAGACATTGTGTGACTATTTGTGTTATTCCTTCAATGGCCCCAGTAGCAGAGAATGCCCAACAACTTCCTATAAACATGCATGGATTTATGTTACTATTTATGCTTTTGCTACATGCTATAATTACACTACAAATTAAAAAATAGTTTATTAACAATGGTAGCAACAGATAATAAGTTTTAGAAATAAAGACTATTTTTCCACTTAATTTTTTTAAGGAATGTTAGCAACTTGTACTAAAGGGTGCGGCAACATTTTCCTTAAACTATTTGTTCAGGAACAAAACCACCCTTTCTTCAAAAACATGTTATCTTCGTTGTTATCTACTGACATAAAATAGTTATGTGGCCACGCACAATGACAATAAGGCATTCTAATTTAATTTGCTGCTGTTTAACCCCTAAAATCAGGTTCAATTCCAACCACCGGCTTCTAGTACTAAAAAGGAGAGAGAAAGATAATATTTCTGAATATTATTTCATTGTAAAATGATACATCTCTGACGTCGTTTGCATGGATCATATTTATACTGCTTAATACAGTGAGATGAGTTCAGTACAACTTCTAATAACAGCATAACAGAAAGCCTTAACAGAATTAGTTGAATACACTAATATCTAGCCCCTTTTGACTACATGAAATGGCCAAAATGGGTCAAAATTCCCTACTATAATAGTGCATAAGTCTCATAACTATTCTAAGTTAACAAATGATGGGTATTTGATGGGAGGACGATATTGCTCTTTAAAAAAATTTAAGAGGGAATATTAGTGTGCCTATCTTTCAGCTCTAAAAAATGTTACGAGAAAAATAGTCTTCAATCCTAAGTTATAGATATACATATACACTTACCACATGCGCCTTGGTCTTTGACATAAGTTACAGCTCCAGATTGCCTCCAATCTAGTGAAGAAGGTGCATTGGCACATGAGCCACTTTTCAACTCAGCATGGCCCTTTTTGCTTTTGATTATGGGCTGTTTCATCCCATGTAAGTAGATTTTACTGAACTCTTCATAACTCATATCTGAGAACTTGTTCAAACCCAAACGATAGTCATAGAGAGACTTTCGTTGTGCATTTTTCTCTCTGATATGCTTCAAATTCGTTTTGAAAGTCTCAAATCTTTGTGCCTCCTCTCTCATGGTTTGGTAATGTCGTTTAGTCTCCTCCTTCCACATTTGGAAAAGTTGGAAGATTTCTTTATCAGAAGTAAACTTGTCTAGATCAAGATTTGAAATGGTATATTCATCAGGTACACTAGAAGAGAGACAAATCAGAGAATACCATACCAAGAGAAGGAAGCACAACTTAGTGATAAGAGAACCCATTGTACACTAAACAGTGATGAAATATATTGATATTGAGCTTTTGGATTGCGTGGTTCCTGCATAATGCTGTCTTGTATTTATAGAGCCAGTTTGCATCTATGATGAGTCACATTATTTGATAGGCCAGGTGAGTATTATATTATTATTTTTTAAGCATTTATAGTTGAGTTTCGATGCAAACATTCTTGTATTGTTTAAAAGACAAATGAAAGAGACTTTAAAGTTTCGTATTTATTATGTCGGAATATCTCACAAGAAGGTTTTTAATTGTTAAAGAGCATTACCTTTCCATGTACTAAATCTGTGAATCAATTGTCCAATGGATAAATCCATGAGTTGAAAAACCTTGAAAAATAATTAATTAGAACATACTTACTCCATACTCCCTGTGATCATTATTATAAGATATCTTTTAGAAGAAATTGATGGTATTTAATATAAGGGACTTCGTAGAGTATTACTTTTATTCTTCCAATATCACCCCTGTTTAAAATGAGAGAGAATGTAATGCAAATTTAAAATTGTTCTCATTTCAATATGAGTAAGATTGGAGTATATTCTTTTTTTATTTACAAAGTTTCCACATCTCCTTCATTTCGTTGAGGTGTTTAGAAGTGCCTTATGAACAAACAGAGTATTTCATATATAAAAAAGTATTTTAAAAAAATATAAAAAGTATTTAAAAAATGAGATAAGTGCATTTTATTGTATTAGTCTATTGAAAAAAGGAAATGCGATTCCCAGTAGCCTTGTATACAAATACCTGCCCATCCATTGATTAAGACTTGAGCGACCAATATATTGAATTCTCAAGAATTATTTTAAGAGTTTCACTGCTTGTATGGCTCATGGATACTGCAATTTTTTTTTGGGGCAAATTTTCAAAGTGTTTATAAAATTAAGTTTTGTCATTTAAAAAAAGTTGAAACAAACGATGCTAATACACTGCCAATAATTAATTAGCATTATACGACAACCATTTTATAAACGCTTCGTCTAATTATACACGTAACTGTTTCGTTGGATTCAGACAGAATATTTTAAATATTGATTGAAGCTGATCAAAATTTTAACATGTAAACTTGGATCACAATATAAAATTTTTGCTCTGCGGACTGATTCGTTGGTTTTGGACTCATGGCATGCATTTTATATATTTTTTCTTGCATATTTTTAAAACTTTCATCATACTGCGTGCGTGGAGCTAAGCTTGCAGATTTGAACTTTTTAAATGAAGATTAGATTGAAAGGGATCGAATTTTCAAGAGATTGAGTAAAATGAACATGTCAACTATAATATTAAATTAAAGTGTTGTAAATGTAGCTAGAAAATGCACAGTGGTGCCAATATTCAAAACGTTCCATGCTAACTAAGCTGTGAACTGATTCGTTGGTTTCGGACTGTTCAGGCTCTACACACAACGACAAGGTGCGAGGCAGCAAGTCTTCTCGCCTTTTGTGTGACACGTGACTTTAACATTATCTTATTACTATGTGGGTTCAAAAATATAAAGTATTTTTTATAGGTTGGATGTTTAAAAAATATAAGTCATTTTTTGTAAGTTATAATTAATATGTTTCTTTTCAAAAATACTCTTAATAAATAAATAAATAAATTATTTTATATTTATTTTTAAATGAACATTTTATTAAATAAGGGTGAATATGGAAAGATGATGTTAGTTGAAAGATACTTAAAAATATCATTAATAAAACTTTATTTTTATCAAAGTATCTTATATTTTGAAATGTTATATCACTTTCAAAATGTCTTATAATTTTGGATAATTTAGGATAGAGGGAGTATTTTATTTTATTTTATTAAAATTGTGAATATCAATAAAATCCATTTAATACACTCTAAAATCTTAATTTTTTTTTTATAAACTTTCAAAAAGACCATATTTAATATAAGGAAGAGAGAGAGAAATGTGTTTGCGCCCACCTCTCTCCTTCCCATCCTTAATTGCAAAGGAAAGTAAAATTAGAAAGTTACATATTTTTTACAATTTCAAATATAAGTATATAACTAACATTTATTAGTAAATGCAAAGGCCATTAACTTTGCCTTATATTAAGGACTAGAGGAAATACATATATTTAAGAATTGTAATCATGAGAGGCAATTATAATGGTTAAAAAAAAATCATGAGGGACAATTTTGGAATAAGTTCATTAACAAATCCTTATTTTTCTCAAAACATTTCACATTATGGGAGATTAAAGCACTCTAAGAAGTATTTTATATAAAATGAGACTAAGGAGTATTATAAATTTTTTTTTTTCATTATCCACAAATATCATCTTATTGGAGGCAAACCTATTCAAGGCACTATTGGACATTAAATGTCAGCACATTTCCCAATAAAAATTCAAATTTTGATTTGTCACAATATGAAAAACCAGCAATTTTTGCTATACTTAACCCCATTAGTAAGAAGTATTGTGATCTTCCCACAATCCCACGTGTTTCTTCAGTTTATTAGCCCAACATCAATTTGGGCTTTTTGAGAAAAAGCCCATTGCACTTACAATGGCTCTCTCAATCGGCTTCTTGCTGTAGCTATTTTCTCGTGCGCTATAACATTCTGGATCGTGTTTTGATTTAATTGAATAATTAAGTATGGGTAGTGAATCATTGACTAAATTTTTATATAGAAGTTATTCAATTTTTATGTTGCAACTTAGGAGCAAGCACTTTGCATGTATATAAGTGTTGGAAGATGATATGGGGCATATGAAGATTGTTTTATTTAATTATTTATTTTCAACCTGTAGCTTGTTGTATTTATTTAAACCTTGTTGTGATGGGTGTCAAGAAGTAAATTATTGAATTGCCTCAAGTAAGCAGATAGCATCCAAATTAGCTTATGTACACATTCCATTCCTTCAAAATATTGGTTCAGTGTACACTTATATAGTTATATTGCTATGTTTTAATTACAATATATCAATTATTGTAATTGAGAATATTTTCATTATACTCTTTAGTTTTAAAAGAAGAGAAAAGAACATTCTTTGTTTGAGTACTCTTATTTATTGAGTATATTGATAATGATTGATTTTATAGCCCAAGTAAGGATTAATCCTTGTAATTCGTGCACGTAAAAATATTGATGAATTTATTTATGCAAGAATGTGGTAAAAAATATTGAAAAGAGATAACGCTACTAGAAAAATGAAATTTGGCGAGGGATAAATCCCTCATTAAATGCCAGTTTCACTCATTAAATTGTATTTTAGTGAGAAATTTTGTCTCTCGCTAACTTCATGGCTAAAAAAAAGCTCGTTAAATTTAGTGAGGGATCGTATTTCCTTCATTAATTAGTGAGGAATTTAGTAAGGGATTCAGTCCCTTAATAATTTTTAGTAAGGGTCATGTCCCTCACTAATTCTTTGCTAAATATACTTATATTTAAAAGTGATGATACCACATCACTTTTCATATGTGCGTTAACTTGTGACATGTTATTAACAATCTCGTGCCTTGTCAATTGTCATGTCACCTGTCATCTCAAGCCTCATCACCTGCTACATGTGTGACAACTTATAATATGTCATTGTTCATCTTGCGTCATGTCACTTGCTCCTTACCATGTCACATGTAATGACTTTAAATTTTAAATTAAAATTTTTTTCTCACAATCTATATCTTATTTAAATTATTTTTATGGCAAATGGAAAGTGGTGACTTAGTGAAATTTAGCTTACCTAGAGGTCTAGAGTGAATTCTTTTAAGCAATGGGGTTATTTAATTTAGTTTACAATTATAAAAAAATTACCAAAGTGCCTGTATCTTTTATGTTATTTGAGAAAAATATTGTGCTCTGTCTTGTAATTTCCGCAATTTTCTAATGTTCAGATTTTTATTTCTCATTCTCGGTCAGAAGCATGCACCAGAAGAAACAAATTCTGGATCCTTCGATTCAATTTGCATTGCTGTTGCTCTTTCCCTTCATTCCTCTTCAATTTTTCTGGTGGTCTCTTGTTGCTGTGCCTCCGGTCAAGTCTTCCCCCGTCTCTCTTCCTCCTCCTATCAGCGTTCTCCATCACTGATTCAGTCTCCTTTTCTTGCTCTGTAATTTCCGTTGCCGTGGAGTGCGTGGCAGTGCTTCTTGAGTGTTGCTCTCCCATTTTTCTTTGGCCATCAACGTGTTTAAGAAGGTGAGTGTTTGATCTTTCTTCTCCTTCTTGGCCGTTCGCGTGTGCTGAAGGGAGTCCCTTGTTTCTTTTCTGTTTTTTTCCCTTCTTTTCTGCTTCATTGTCGACGAGTACAGCGGACCTACGTAGTGGTCAGTGTGGGCAAGTGCCCCCCCTGAAAATAAAAAAATTTACATGGGTATCTATGGTAAATTTTGCATCCTGCACCCACTCATCTCTTTTTTTTTTTTTGAACCCGGTGAAATTTAGTCCAAATCAAAGTGAAATTTAGTCCAAATCAAAGCAATAAACTTAACCCAAATCCAATTTTTGTAACAAAGCCCACAAAACAAAAAATAAACAATCAATCCTCACCCAAGCAGAAGAGAATTAAAATGACAAAATGTTATCCTCAACAATAATTATTTCAAATAATAAAATCTAACAAAACTTAGCTTTTAGAAATTGTGCCCTAACAGTTGGCTGGCCCCATACGCAAGAGAAGCAGTGGCAGACTTGTATAGGAGGAGAATCGAAGAATTGGATTTTGGATAACCATAACTTCAAGCTTTAGCAAAAGAAGAACACACCAAACTCAAGTACTTTCCAGTTTTTTTTGAATTTTCTCCTTGATTATGAACATAGAGCAAGTAGTCAAGAGCTGTGAGTTGAAAAAACTTTACTTTCATGTTTGGATCTGCCGATTTGGGGAAACAAAAATCATGGAACTGGAGAGTAAACTAAAAAGAGAAGCTGAGCAGTTGAGCCAGAGATGAGACTGAGAGATAATGGGATTGATTGAGGGAAAAGACAAAAAGGTTGTAGAAAAAGTGAATTTGAGAAGGAAAAGTCATTGAAAAGTGAGAGTTTGCACGTGGG